GGGATAGTGTTGTGGTTAGCCGGCAGCAGGTACAGATGGCTGAGGAGAGTGAGGACTCAGATGAGTGGCCAGGACCATTTGGAAGTGGACTGCTGCCTTCAGAGATTGTGGGGGCTGGCAGCAGCAATGAGGAGGTTCCTGAGGAGCCTGTGCCAAGTGTGCATGCACGCAGGGCTGCTCGTAGGAAAGAGCAGCTACAACAGCATGGGTGACTCAGGAGTAAGGCTGCAAGGTAATGGCCCCTCTTTCAAGAAGATAAAAGCCAGCTGTGAATCAGACATTCTTTGTAGGAAGCAAAAACATTTTGAAACTCCAGCCTCATGGACATTGCAGTATCTTAAGTTGGTATTTGAAGACTCTTGTGCTGTATAATATTTCTTATCTGTTATTCTTGGCAGCCTCACACAGTTTTGGCGAGGCTTGTGTTTATCAAAGTTAATTAGTTTGCCGTAGTAGCTACTGAGATCCTATGGATGGCGCTAGATGCTAGCAGCAAACTGCAGGGTTTAAAACCTATATGGGGCCTCTTGGCTACTTGCATGATCTCATTTCCTATATCTTGGTGAAGGTGGAAAGTCCCGGACTTTCCAGAGATATAGGTGATCTCATTTACTAACATCACCACTAGTCTTAAGGATTGGTTGGGAGGTTGTACCAATGTGGTTGAGAAGTTTCATCCATGTGGGATCTATTCTCCAATCCAAATACTTTATCTATGCTACTCTTCCTTGCTTGTAAAAATGGTATAAAAGAATAAACGCTGCCCAGGCAGTCAGACATCTTGGCACCCTGCACAATGACTGATCTTTGAAATCCATCATTATGGCGCCTGAACAGGGACATCAACCCTGCAGGGTGGGGCCATCAACCCTCTGGGGTGGGCAACAGCCAACATGCTTACCATCATCTGGAAACAGACCCCTAAGGTGTGCACCTTCATCCTATGGGACCCCGGGTCCTACAGGACCCATCAATGGTAAGTATGGGTTGCAATCTATCTCGGCATCAGCAGAAACATGTTCAGGAAATTAGATTCCTGCTACATAAGGTGCAAAAGTACACTGAGGCTAGAAAAAAGCTGATGGGAGGTAGGGAAATGGTATCCTGAATGCAATAGAATAGAATAGAATAGAATAGAATAGAATAGAATAGAATAGAATAGAATAGAATAGAATGTTAAGGATACCCAAGGCTCCAGTCCAAATATTACATCGATGGTATAATAGCTGTCAAGCAGTGGAAACACCTGGCTCTGATGTCTCAGCAAAACAATAAATGATTACAAGCCCCCTCCTGATTATGATCAGGTAAAAATTGTCACCCGCAAAATCTTCTCCAATTGGACCTTCAGCTCCTTCTGAGGAGGCTAAATCTTTTGATTCTCCAAGGCCATTGTACACCCCCATAAGGCAAATATTAAAGGAACAATTAGAAAAAGGGGGAGATTCAAGCAAGAAACCCAGGACAGAGACACATAAATTTATTTGTTTAAAATTTGTATGTTTAATCTTTTTAAATTATTTAATGCTAAAGAAAATAGAACAATGGGTGTAACTAGAATGCGGGCAACTGCTCTGTTCTGATGCACTGGTTGGTAGAGATGGATGTGGAAGGCATGCCCCATTGATTTCAATGGTCCAGTTAGCTCTGCTGTTCAGAAGCATGGAACGAGACACAGATCCATGTTTAAAATAGAGCCCCTCCATAAAGTACATTGGGACTGATCAAAGAAGATATGGTTAATTTATGCTGTTATGTGTGGTAGAAAGAACTAAGAGAATAAGAAAATGTTTACTATTCTTTTCAGGATGTGATTTTCATTAAAACTTTTTAGATGTGTATGTATAATGTATAATAATTGCATGCAGAGTAGAACTTAGTTGTGTATGTATAATACTGTAAAATAATTGTATGCAGAATTGAATAGGATTGAATTGAAGAAAAATATCTTTTACCTGTGTATAGCCCCAACTGGAACTGCTGTATCTCAAAATGAATTAATTGTAACATGTTTGTCAGCCAGATAATTAAATTGGCTTTTTGGATTGGGCTTAGAGTTGTGGGAGGCAGATAGCCCACAATTGTGGGCCCACAATCGCCTTTGTGATTGGAACAGCTCCTTGAGTTCTCCCAGTGCTCTGAGAACAACTATAGGTTGTCCAAAAAAAAGAAAATGTGGAGATTTAAAGGGAAAAAACCTCCTCAGCTCTGGAAATGTGTGTGAGAATGTGTCTGTAAGTATGTGAGCAGTATGATTACAGTGTAAATGTGAGTATGTTGATGGTAAAAAAGTTGGTGTAAATGTTTGGGTGTTGACCCCCATCCCAGATTGAGAGTAAGAAATAGTGTGTGCAAGGAAATGAGAAAGGTCCGGACATTATAAAAATCCCAAGGAGAAATGTGATTTACTGGAAAGAGAGAATTATTTGTGTGTGCTTTGCTGATGTTGCAAGTTATTTGTGTGTGAAGAGATTTATTTTGTTGAAAGAATGATGTTGAGTGGAAAAAATGGGTGAGATTTCTGTGTAGTATTTTAAAAATTGCCCCCCTTCACTGGTTGCTGGAGGCAGGAAGAAGGGGGAGAGAGTGAGGTTCTTGCTTACTTTAACAATTTTTTTTTCTCTGCTTTGAGTTTTTGTCTTGAAAAAGGCAAGGTTGGAAAATAACTTTTTTATAGGTTACATAGCTTCATCTCCTGATTTTTTAGCTTTTTCAAACAAAAGGACCCTCAGATAGCTAGGCTGAGATTGGCAAATTGCCTGGAACATTATCTGTAAAGGTGGCTCAGTTCCCAGGTGGGCAGTTTGCCCAGATCTGATTAAAGCAGAGAATTGACACTAAAATTTGACTTCATCTGGAGGGTTTACAACAAGAATGTGAAGAATGCATAGCTATTACCAGCCCAACAGGTAAAATACAATGGACTTTGCAAACAACTTTTTCTTCTAATTTTTGATAAGTACAATAAAGTGTAAATGGTGGAGTTGTGTAAATCTGATTTTCAATTTTATTTTCAGAATAACTTATCTCTTCAATGTCCTTTGCCTGACTATGTAAGCTGTGTTGTTTGCCTAAAGATCCTTGGCTTGCTTACTTAATGACTTCTTCCTTTCCTGTCCTTACAAGGATCCCTCATGATACCTGGAAAGTGTTCTGCTATTTTAACTTTCCAAACTTTCTCAACAGCCTTTTAATTTAATTTCTGACTTTCATCATGTGTGTCAACTTATTTTTAATCTTCCAGGTGCTTATATCACTCCCAGGATTGATCCTAATCTCTTGACCTTGTCTTTAACTTTACAGCAACTGTTACTGTATCAAAAACAGTTCTACTATGTGTCTCACATATGTAGTCACTTTGTTGATTTTTTTTCAGTCACTCTTTTTTCCATCAAAACGCTAGAGGCCTGGCACAAGTTTGCCATATTCCAGTTAATCAAGCCAAGCAGATTGTTTCATCATCAACTTTGGCAAATGGATGTTACCCACCAGGCAAGTTTTTTTACAACATGATATTTAGCTTTTTTGCAATTTTGTACAACCTGGAATAACAAGTTCATCAGTCATTTAAGGCCTGTCTCCACAAATAAATAAAAAAGGAGGGAAAGGGTCTCTAAAAAAGTTTAAAAAGTATTATTTACCTTAAATCAATTGAATGCAATTGAATGTTTCCATTTATCTTAAATTAATTGAATGTTTTTATTCAAAATTTAACTATTTGGGGGTGAGGGGGCAGGGGTGTGCTGCTGTTTGCTCCTACAGGACCTTTGTGGATTCCAGCTTGTTGTGTCTGCCCAGCCAAGGATGTCTACACCAGTCCCCAGACCTGGTCCCAGAAATGTGATTCTACAGATGGCGCAGTGTCCAATCTGGGTTCATTTGTTTATGTTTGGCTAAAATCACACAGAATGATGTCTTTTGCTTATCTGAAACCTATGATACGGAACATTTGCTTTCTACATGTTTAGTTCCTATCTGCACTACTTCTGCAGTAATTCAAAACTTCACTGGCTTAAGTGGATTTTTATTACATGGGAACTTTAACTGTAAGACTGTGCTTTACACACCCCAATGGTAGCAGTCTCTGTAAGTATAACTTGTGCAAAAGTAGTTAATTGTACATCTTCAAGTAAAAAACCTCACTGTCATCGTATTAGCTTACCTACTCTGAACTGCACAGCTTTGGAAAAGACTTCCTTTCACATTGCTCATGTTTGGCTGCCGCAAGAATGGTTGTTTACATGTGGTCAAGAAACTTTTAATTATATTCCTGCTAATATTAGTGAAGCGCAATGCTGTCTCAGCTGGCTGATTCCTGTTTTACTTTCTAAACAAATTCATCACTTGAATCGTTCTCGACATGGGGTCACATTAGATAGCACTTGTGACTCTGAAACAACCTTACTTAATAAAGCAGAATACGTAGTGCTACCTTTGTCTACAGTGGGCGTGCCAGCAATTGCTGCTTGCGCACACCTTAACATTAACTCTGTTGCATGTAATTTAGCAAAAACAATTATGTAATTTAGCAAAAACAATGTTACTTCTTCAGCTATCGCAACAATCAACCACAAGATGCAAGCATTGAGGAAGGCTATTCTACAAACTCTGTTGTTTTGTTTGATGGGTTACGAACCATCCAGCACCAGCTTAATATTTTCAACAATTTGGCCTTGGATTTGAAAATAGATAAATTAGGATCTTGGTGGGAAAGCTTTTGGGCTTGATTGACCACATGCTTAATGGGAAAAATTTACACTATGTAGTCATTATTTGTGCTTTAATTAGTGGGTGCTGCTTTGTTCAATGTCTCCCTTCTCTTTGCAACATATGTATCTCAGGTTTTCACCCTAAAATCTCTCCTACATTGCCTCAGGGTCAAGTATATGCCCTGTATGAATAACTGCAAGTGTGATCTTCTACTGATTATTATAAGTCCCTTACTAACCTCTCTTATGATTAGGCCTTGTCTAAACAAAATAAAAAAGAGTGAAATGTAGTAGCTACTGAGATCCTATGGATGGCGCTAGATGCTAGCAGCAAACTGCAGGGTTTAAAACCTATATGGGGCCTCTTGGCTACTTGCATGATCTCATTCCCTATATCTTGGTGAAGGTGGAAAGTCCCGGACTTTCCAGACATATAGGTGATCTCATTTACTAACATCACCACTAGTCTTAAGGATTGGTTGGGAGGTTGTACCAATGTGGTCGAGAAGTTTCATCCATGTGGGATCTATTCTCCAATCCAAATACTGTATCTATGCTACTCTTCCTTGCTTGTAAAAATGGTATAAAAGAATAAACGCTGCCCAGGCAGTCAGATATCTTGGCACCCTGCACAATGACTGATCTTTGAAATCCATCAGTTTGCAGTAGCCTTTTAACCGGGGATTCATAAGAATCATTAAAAGGTTTCTGTTCCCTTTGGTTCGTGTTTGTTTTATTGGAAAAGGGTTTGGGTCAGAACAGCCATACCTGGTGACAGCAGAATCGACGAGAAACAACTTGAAAAAATCACCAAATATGAGGACTTGAAAATCGAACTGCAGAGACTCTGGCATAAACCAGTGCAGGTGGTTCCAGTGATACTCGGCACACTGGGTGCTGTGCCTAAAGTCCTAGGCAAGCACTTAAAAACAATTGGCACTGGCAAAATTACCATTGGTCAGCTGCAGAAGGCCATCTTACTGGGATCTGCTCACATAATCCACCAATACATCACGCAGTCCTAAATGCTTGGGAAGTGTTTGACTAGTGATTTGTGATACGAAACCCAGCATAGTTATCTTGTTTGCTGTGTACACTGTTTTTTGTCAATAATTACATACTTTATTGTCATTGTACATATATACACAGCATACAACAAAATTCACATAACACCCAGAGACCAGACCCAACACGCACACACACAATCCCCAAACACCCACCCACCCACCCAAGTTCCCCGCCCCCTAAAAACACACAAGCATCCACACAACAGATCAAGTAATACTGTCCAACAGCTTGCTGATCGTGGTCCTTAAGTTCATTGTTAAGTGCAATTATAGCTCTGGGATAAAAACTGTTCAGAAAACATGTGGTCCGAGTTTTAATTGTTCTGTATCTTCTGCCAGAAGGCAACAGTTCACAAAGATGGTAAGCAGGATGGGAAGAGTCTCTGAGAATATTGTGCAACTTCCACAAACAGTGAGAAGTGAAGATGTCATCCAGGGCTGGTAGCTGGAGCCCAATGATATTCTGGGCAGTTTTAATTATTCTCTGTAGAGCTTTTTTGTCCGCTACAGAGCTGCTCCCATGCCATGCAAGAATGCCATATGTTAGGACACTCAATGGTACTGCGGTAATAGGACAGAAGTAGATACTGAGATAGATTTATCTTCCTGAGCATTCTCAGGAAGTACAGCCTCTTCTGTGCCTTCTTCACAAGCATGTTAGCATTCATAGTCCATGAGAGGTCCTCTGAGATATAAGTGTCCAGAAATTTAAAACTATCAACCCTCTCCACCTCCTCACCATTTATGTACAATGGTAAATGTACATCTCTCTTCCTCCTGAACTCAATTATAAGTTCTTTAGTTTTTTTGGTGTTAAGTGTAAGATTATTTTATTTACACCAGTGTCAGCCCTTGTACTTCCTTTCTATAAGCAGACTCATTGTTCTTATTAATGAGCCCCACCACTGTCGTGTCATCCACAAATTTGATAATTGTGTTGGTGTTATACGATGGGGTGCAGTCATGTGTGTACAAAGAATAAAGGAAGGGGCCTAGCACACAACCCTGGGGGCCTATCTGTCAGAAAATACTTTATCCACAAACAAATCTTCTGATTTATACCCAAATTGGACATTTTAAGAAACAACCTGTTGGGTAGAACGGTGTTAAAGGCAGAACTGTAATCCACAAATAACAGCCTTGTCTATGTTCCCTGTTGTTCCAAATGATTCAATACAGTATGAACAATAGACATAGCATCATCAGTTGATCTGTTACTCCTATATGCAAATTGGCATGGGTCCAAAGTAGATGGAAGACTAGCCTTAATGTAGTTCAACACCAGTCTCTCAAAACATTTCATGACATCAGATGTTAAAGCTACTGGTCTATAGAGAGATACCACTACTGTCTGCTTTGGGACTGGCACTATAATGGATGTCTTCAGCAGGTAGGGATAGAGCACTGCAACAGGGATAGACTGAAATTATCTGTGGACACTCCAGCTAACTCTGCAGCACAGTCCCTAACAATTCATCCCATGATTCCATCTGGCCCAGCTGCCTTCCGGGTGTTAATACTCTGGAAAGTGCGTCTCACATCAGAAATCTGCAGTAGAAGTGGTTGTCTATCGATGGTAGATGTTAGTGGTGTACTATCAGTGGTAGATGCTGGAATGATGGTCATTCCTGTTTCCACCTCAAAGCGGCTGAAGAATTGATTTAGCTGCTCAGCCAAAGAATCACTACTGATAGACAAACTATTTTTGTTGCTCTGCCCTGTAATTTGTCGCAGACCTTGCCATACCCAACGAGAGCCCAACCTCGCAAAATGTTCAATCCTCTGTCTGTATGTAGCTTTAGTGTCCCTGATGCCCTTTTTCAATTTAGTTCTTCTCTCGCTGTACTGTAGCGCATCACCAGAATGGAAAGCAGCATTTCTAGTTAATAAAAGACACACTTCTCTATTTATCCAGGGCTTGTTGTTAGAAAACACCTGTACTTGTCTGGTGGTAATGACAACATCAATGCAGCTTTTGATATAAAACAGTACTGTTGAGGTGTAAGTATCAATATTGTCCTCCTCAAACAGTGCCCATTCAGTGCTCCTAAAGCAATCTTGAAGTTGCTCAGATGCACCCACTGGCCACACTTGTATTTCTCTAATTGATGGTCTGATTCTGTTGACAAGAGGTCTGTATGATGGAATCAAGAACAGAGATACATGATCTGACTGTCCCAGATGGGGTAAAGGCATAGTCCTGTATCCATGCATGATGTTACTATATACCTGATCCAAGGTGCTTTTCCCTCTAGTGGGACAGTCTACGTACTGATAGAACATAGGAAGGACAGTCTTTAAATTGGTTTGATTGAAATCGACTTAGATGAGGGAATAGAAGAACTTAACAAATTTGCAGATGATACTAAGCTGGCAGGAATAGCCAACATCCCAGAAGACAAGCTCCAAAAAGATCTTGACAGACTTGAACAATGAGCTCTATCCAACAACATGAAATATAATATGGAGAAAAGCAAGGTTTTACACCTAGGCTGGAAAAACCAAAGGTACAAGTACAGATTAGGCAAAACCTGGCTCAAAAACAGTACCTGTGAGAGGGATCTTGGAGTCCTAGTGGACAATCACTGAAACATGAGCCAGCAGTGTGCAGCAGCCGCCGCCAAAAAAAGCTAATATAATCCTTGGTTGTATAAATAGAATCAAAAACATGTGAAATATTAGTACTGCTTTATAAATCCTCAGTAAGACCACACCTGGAATACTGCATCCAGTTTTGGTCACCACATTACAAAAAAGATGTGACTTTGGAAAAAGTGCAAAGAAAAGCAACTAAGATGATTAAGAGCCTGGAGACAAAACCATGAAAAACAGTTGCAGGAATTGGGTATGGCTAGTCTAGAGAAAAGAAAGACTGTGGGTAGCATGATAGCAGTATTCCAATATTTGAGGGGCTACCACAAAGGGGAGGGGATTAGCTTATTTTTCAAAGAACAAGAGGGCAGGACAAGAAACAATGGATGGAAGCTAATCAAGGAGGAGCAACTTGGAATTAAGGATAAACTTCCTAACAGTGAGAATAATTAAGTAGTGGAACAGCTTGCCATCAGAAGTTGTGGGTGCTTCATCAGTGGAGGTTTTTAAGAAGACAGTAGACCAGGGGTGTCAAACTCAAATTTCATTGAGGGCCAGCTCAGCATTATGGTTGCCTTCAAAGGGCCAAGTGGACGTGGCTGGGTAGGCGTGGCTGGGTGGTTACATTACTGGGTGGGTGTGGCCAATGTGACCTGGCCCACTCGATGTCGCTCACATCAAGGGGTGCCTGTTGGGGGCCCAGACAAGGCTAGGAAGGGGGATCCTGGGCAAGCAAGGCCGAAAGGGGGGCGGCCTGCCCTCTGGGAACAAAAGGTTAACCAGTGGACTGGGAGATGGGAGTACGGAACGGCATGAGCTGAGCATCAGCCGGGGCCAGCTCCTGGTTGCCCTTTCTGACCCTGCCATACAGTATTCACGAAGGTCGTGCCAGGGAGCGTGAGCAGAGGTGGTCAGATGCAGTGGCAACGAAGGGCAACCAAGAGGGTTACAGGTTATGGGAGAGAGCAAGATCTGCAGGGAGCAGCAGGCAAAGGCTGCTTGTGCACAGCTGTTCCTGATGCCTGGGGTGGGGGGCATCAGGGCATCGGTGCTTATGTGCCATTGGGGAGGGTGCCTGGAGGGTTAAATGGTGCTGAGGCGCAGTGGGGGGGCAGTCGAATTGCACCTTTGGTTTTAGGCTGGAGTCCAGGCACAGAGGCAACGGCAGTGGGGAGGTCAAAAAGGGAAGCCCCCACACACTGTTGCCTGCCCATTGCCTGTGGTGGATTCTCATGTTCATCCCCCTCCCCATTGCAGTTCATGCAGTTCAGCTGCCACACCACCACACCCCAGCACTGTTTGACCCCCCGCCCCCCAATCTCCCCAGCCATGCTCAAGCACTGATGCTCTGCCGACCCTCCAGGTATCAAAACCAGCTGAACTCAAGCAGCCTTTGCCTGCCACCTCCCCAGGCAGCTTTCCCAGCCACACACAAGCACCGATGCCCTGCCCCCCCCGCCCCCAGGCATCAGAAACAGCCGTGCGCAAGTAGTCTTTGCCTGCTGCCTCCCCAAGCAGCCTTCCCAGCTGTGCACAAGCACTGATGCCCTGCCAGCCTGGCCCTCAAACTCCTGGGCCACTGGGCAACCACAGCCCAGCCCAGCTTCCCTGAGCAGGCACCCGGCCATGCTTATCTCTGGGCTTCTGCTGCTGCCACTGCTGCCATGAGACAATATCAAGTGAGGCCGGGCAAGGAGAGGCCGGGCATGGTGAGGAGAGGCCGGGTGTGACAAGGCGAGACTGGGAGCAGTGGGATGAGGCAAGGTAGGGCTGGGTGGGATGAGGCCAGGCAGGATGAAGCAGGACAAGGCAAACAAGCTTCAGCTACTGCTGGGCACCACCAGTCCCTGCATGCTCACCACCATGCAGGGGCCGGTCCCTCGCTGTTTCCAGGGCAGCCCCGTGGGCCAGCTCTAACCACATTGTGGGCCGGATGTGGCCCACAGGCCTTGAGTTTGACATGTCTGGAGGCAGCTTTCCATCAGGTCGACCGCGTCTCCCCCACTACTGCCAGATGGCCCTGTTACTGCCTTGTCCTCAGTCCCTGGACTCTCCACTCATTTGGAGAGGACAGTGTCCTCCCTCTCAGATGGTCCTGGTTCCAACTCCTCCTCTGAACCAGGATCCAACAGAGCCAACATGGGGAGGCAGGAGACTCACCTACAATGGGCCTTCCACATCTGGCCTGCAATTCCCAGGGAGGGGAGGGAACCTCTAATGATGTTTGTTTGTTACAGCAACTGCCACCTGGCTCACCAGCTCCTGCAGGGCAGTGGGAGGATTCCTTTGAGACAGCCTCCATTCCCAAGTTCCCATGAGAACTCAGACTTTGAAGACAAAATGCTGTAAGGGGAAAGCAGCATAGTGGCCACCCCCATGGAAGAGGAGGGGGGAAGATGGAGGGATGGGTGATGTAGATGACCAGGCTGAGTCTGAGGGAGGGGTCAAACGCACCATAAGTCACAAGTCCCTGCATGCCTGCAAGAGATCTAAGTCCAGCCCACCTTGAAGAGTCTATGACAACTCACAGCAGCCAGGTGGGCATGGCTGGGTAAGTGTGGCTGGGTGGTCACAGCTGGGCCGCTATGGCTAGGTGGGTGTGTCCGGGTCGGTGTGGACCACTCAATGCTGCTTACTTGGCGTGGCTGACTCAGTACAGTCAGGTAGGAGTGGCTGGGTATGTGTGATCGGGTAGGTGCAGCTGGCTCAGCCCCACTGACTTGGGATGGCTGGGTCAGCATGGAACAAGTCACATTGGCTAACCTGATGTGGGAACTACTTGGTGCCCCACAATCTCCTTGCCTTCCCAAACTGCGGGCAGCCAAGTGCCTGCATGCACACACACCCACAAATTCAAGAGGCCACCATGCAGCTTGGGAAAATAAGCAGTTTAAATTGAAAAAAAATCAAGATTCACATTAATATGCATTTTTGTATTCCATGGCAGGATTCTCTCCTTCACTTTTATTCTATTTTTACTACTTAATATTCACTTACCTCTTGTAAATATATACAATTTAAAATTAACTTTCAGTTTAATTGCAAATATGTTAAGAAAAAATCTCAAGCTATAGCTCTTAATTACAAAACAGCAGCTTAATGGCTTATAAAATGG